AATGAGAAGACAGGAATTGGAAAACAGAGAGTAGAGTTAATACTTTTGTGAGTTTTACTACAAAGGAATAAAAGAAATAAGGCATTAGCTGGTGGAGGAAATGAGATTAAATGAAGTTTTGGAGACTGTAAGAAGATGGGAGAAAAAACATTTGTGAGCCGACTGGGAAGATCCTCTAGAGAGCAAGAACTTGACAGACAAAAGAGAAAAGATAGAACTGCTTAAGGGATGTACTTGAGTAAAGGAAAAAGGATGACATCTAATGTACAACTGAAATGACTAGATAGGAGCTGGGAAAATTTACACATGGTGATAGATGAGAAGGCAGAAAATGTGGGTATAAATGCTGGTCCACTAAGTACTTGTTGGTGTGAGTTTGTGCAGGTTCTCTTTTGATTGCTTCAATTTTCTCAGTAAAGTAGGAAGTAAGGAAATTAGCTGGAAGAGAGAAACAAACAAGAGACACTAGGGGACTGTGATAGGGGCAATTCCTTGATGGCCCCCATGATCTCCATTCCCTGGTGTTAACACTGTATAATCCTCTCTCCCCACAGAGTGGGTGGAACATATGACTTACTTCTAAACAACAGAATATGGCAAAGGTGATAAGATGTCACTACTGTGATTAAATTATGCATGGCAAAGGAAGTGAGAAAGTCACTTCTGTGATTAGGTTCAATATGTAAGACTCAACTTACTAGCACACAATGGAGAAAGGTTCTCCTGCTGGACTTGCAAAAAGCAAACAGCCAAGCTGTGAAATACCTGTGAAGAGGGCCATGTGGTAGGATACTATGGGTGACATCTAGAATCTGAGGGCCTCCTCTGGGCAACAGCCAGTAAGTAGTTGAGGCCCTCAATCAAACAGCTGCAAGGAACTTGAATGCTGCCAATAACCTAGACGAACATGGAAGCAGACTAGTTCCCAGTTGAGCTTCTAGATGAGAAATCAGCCCAGATGACACTTTGATTGCAGCCATGTCAGACCACAAGCAGAGGACTAACCTGCCTGGCTTAAGTCATTCCTGGACTACTGACCTACAGAATCTGTGAGAAAACAAATGTGTGTTGTTTAAGCCACTATGTTTGTGATAGTTTGTTATACAAAAGAACCCTAATACAGGGTTGAAAAGAGAGGAGAACTTATGAAATAGTCATTCAGAGAGTAAGAAAGTGAATGGGCTTATGATTATATGACAGAATTGAGTCGATTAGAGAATTGTGGTCATGAACTTAAAGTGAGACCAGTTTTACTTTTCTGTAACCACAGCAAGGATGCTATATATGAGTTACCTATTTTCATGTGTTTGATTAATTTTGATAGATACCTATTATACAATTTCAAATTTATCAATCAATAAATATCTTATAAAGCACATATTTCTAAAATGATTCTTTTTTTCTTTTCCTGAAATTTAAGAAAAACTCCAGGAGAGCTAACAATAAAGAACCTAAAGTTAACCCTAAAATTTAACTTTTGGCAATGTTGATTAACAATGAAGTAATTCAATAATTTAGTATCAATAACTTAGAGTTGATTGAATACTACTGATTCTGCTTAAGTTCTCTCTGAAAGTTTAAACATGTCACTTTAAAGAACCTAATTACATTTATTATATCTTCATATTTGCTTCAAGTTTAAAATTACTTCTGTACAAAATTTCAAACTTGCACCTTATAATATGAAATGTATGTGGAAAAAATATAAGTTGTAACACTATTAGCCCTACTAACTTTACTTTCTCAATAGAGAAATAATAGCAATTTGATTTATTATTAGGCAATAAGTAACTTAGTACTACACTCACTAGAAAATAACTGTAGAGTAGTTTAAGCTTAAGCAGGCAGACTTTGATTACAGCAATATTTCAGAGTTAAAGAAATAGCCAATATAAATATTAGAATTGTTCTAAAGATAAAACCCAAATAGTTTTAATAAGCTATATGCTATGCCAACTTAAAAAATAATTTTTATTTTTTGTTATCATTTGAAAGGCAGTTCAGAAAAAAATTAATTAAATAAACATAGCCTAGCATTTATATGGTGTTTATTACATTCTAGACACTGTTCTAAGAATAGTTAATCAATTATTTTTTATGTCAGCCTAAGGTACTATTATTTGAATTTCACAGATGGGGAAACTGAGACTCAAGGTTACTTAGCAAGTAAGTGGTAGAACAAGGATTTGATCGTAAGAAATTTGGCTCTAATCGTGACTTTTAACCACCATTTTATAAGGCTTCTCACATGATAGTCCTTCAATTTTCAGGGGGAAATTATTATAGCACAACACTGTAGCTAGAATCTGTAGGTCTGTCCCGTGGAAACATGTTAAGAGGCCTAAAGGGTGAGAAAGTAAAATTCAGTATGTACTGAAACTTGTAATCATTTGTAAAAGAAAAGATTTTTCAATGTTGAAACTGCAGATCAAACTTACTCTTTAACCTGTTTTCTGGGCTTTTTATCTTGGTTGGTGTTTTCTGGATATTTATAGTCAATCGTTCTTTTTATTACATTAGTTTGCAACAAAGACAAACTATTTATTCTGGAAATAGAACTCAATCGTAATTCATTTAGTAAATAATGGTAAAAATAAAACAAATGTTTGTTGCCTCTGTTTTATATTGATTTGTAATAATTGATATGGAAAGAGTTTATAGTTACTTTTAATAGCAGGGGGTGTCATATTACCTATAACATATAAGCAATAATTTTAATCTAAAACAGAAGTCTCTGGTTTTGATCCATTTCTGCCAGTTATAAACTTTAGACATATCTGTTAAATTGCTGGGTAAGAATAAACTAAACTTAAGCTAGTTATAAAAGTTATTTTCTTATATGTTGAAAAGTCTATTTTAATTATGGAATGTTTAAGATGATCATATTAGAAACTATTTTCCTATCCTGATTTCACTTTCAGATATAAGTCAATATAGTGAAGCTAAATTAATAAGTATTATCCACAAGAAACAACAGTGAGCTGTGTAATCTAAAGTCCAAATGAATAAGAAAAACCAAATTTCCTTCTGTCCTGTCACATAAATAGAATCTACTGGGAATTACTGGAGGGAAAAAAATAATTATTAACTACTAATAACAGCAAGATTGATGATAACTACAATTTTTCCAAAAACTTAATTTTGTTTTTTTCTTCTCTTATACCTTGCTTTATGTTATCCAGGAAATATTATGATTCTTTGTATAAGAACAGAAGAAAACAGAGTACCAATAATAAATCTAATGAAGAACAGAGGACAGAATATAAAATCACAAATGACTTATTTCAAATTAGCAAAATATTAGATTTGGCAGAGGCAAGTGTAGTAATATATCTAGAGGGTAAAAATATAATACTAGTAAAGTTAAACATATAATTCGTTTTTTAAGAAATCATTTTGTAAAAATTCACATGCTCATTTAAAACAAATGAAAGAAAACACAAATCTAACTTGGCAGAAAAATTATTAAGATGGTTCTCTCTTCTAAACCCAGAAATTTTTATTTTTTACTTTGAGAAAAATCATCAGTTTTGTTTTTATTGTTGTGTTTGTTGTCTTGTTTTTGTTTGGAAATGAAAAAATGATGAAGTATAAGGAGAAATAATAAAAACATAAAATGAGTTGTTTTTCCAATAGTTTTCTATACCATTTAATTAAAGTTCATATGAAAGATAAGTTATATAGAGTGAAATGTAAATACACTTTTTAATTTCATGCATACATAATACAAACTTGGTTCGTACTTTATGCAGCACCATTCCTTGAAAGAGAAGTGCTGGGTTTTCTCACTAAAGATGTGTATTTTACTGACCAATTTATCAGTGCTAAAATGTGAGCATTAAAAAGTACTTTTCTTTGAAGAGAATGCTACTGCATAAAACGAAAATCAAGCACCTACTATAACATAATATCCTAAATGTTAGTTTTGCTCCCACTTATATTAAAAATTTTACTGAAGATGCAAAAGTATTAGAATCAATAAATGAGCAAAATAATTCTGATAACCTTATATTAGATAATATGCAAAAGCCACATTTAATATATATTTAGCAAATATAATTCAAAGTTAATTTATTAGTCAACAATACAAAAAACTATTATAAAGATAAGCTTTTGTTTAATGTTTAAATAATGCCATAAGGTTGTGTTAGTAAGCAAAGGAAATACTAAAGAAAATAACATTTCTCACCTAAATAAAGCTCAACTCAGACAAAATGAAAATGTGTTTAATCATTTTAATAAATATATTATTCAACATTTGTCAAGTTAAAGTACAATATGGCTCTGAATTACATAAAATATTTTAGATCATCTCCTTACATGAAAAATGACCTACAAAAATACTCAGTACCAAAACAGTCATCAAATCAAACTACTCTAATATATTTCTAATTGCAAAGTTTGCCATTCCATCAATAAAATTGCTTAAAATTTTTTAAATAGTAAGAAAGTACCAGATTTTGAGTTGTTAAACAATATTCAAATTATCACAAATACCAATTTTCAGGTACTTATAGGTTGCTAAAAGTGTCTTTGATCAATAATTTAAAATTGTTTATAGAGTAAGGCATGTCTCAAATAAAAAGCAAATAAAATTGCATTCACTTTTAAAGATATACCTTTGCTCAATTTATACACATATTTTTTGCATATATGATATCCTTAACTTACATACCAAGAATCCTAGAAAGATACAATAAAAAAGATTAAAAACACCAACTCAATAAATAACTCTTAGAGCTCCAGCGCAGTCACAATTGTAAGGGAAAAATCCAAAATTCTAGTAGTCTACCATCTGAATATAATTTTTTAATTTAAAATTTAAAATGCATATAAATTTTTAGGAATAATGTAATTTCTTTCTTAGATTATTTGGAATCTGTTCATGGTGCATATATGTGAATGAACGAATAAATCCTTAACCCACCATTATCTTTTTCTCCAGTTTGCAGGCAATCACTCGTGAAAAGTATGGTGTAGATGACAGGATGATACTGTACCTGATTAGCTCTGGAGGTGGTCATGGGATCAGATGGAGAGGACTTGGTGGTAGTTGGGGAAGATGGCAATGTCTGGGAACAAAGCAGTTCAGGAGCAAATCAACCTTTATAAGCCTTAAACTGATTATTTAAATAAAACGAAACAAAAGAAAATGTAATATAACGAGAACAAAATTCTATAAACAAATTTTTCTCCTATTCATTCAAATTTAATGGAATTTAAGGTCAATTAAGTAACTAATGCATGTAAATATGCATGCATAAGCATGTAAAAATAAATTCATGACTTGAAATCATGATGGTGACTGATAAAAATTCACATGAGTACTAAAGATATCCTGACCATATTCATGAATAATAATCTCATTTCTTTCCCTCTTGTTTTCTTGGGAGAAAAGAGATGTGAGAAAAAAAAATTCAAGAAGTCAAATGAGTAAAACTGAAAGAGTTATTTTCCTATCAATGAATACAGTCGGAAATTTGAAGAAGTGGTGAAATGAAGTTTACTTTGGCATAAAAGTATCCACCTACTTAATATGTTGAACATCACCAACAAGTTGATTCCACATGAATTTAGGGATCCATACTTAAAAGCAATTAAATTTGCAGTTCTGAGTTCTTAATATCACATTATCTTCTAAAATATTAATTTTTAATAAATTTAGAGCCCGTCTGAAAATGTAAACATTAGCCTCACATTAATAAACAGGTAATTAATAGCATTCTAACAAATAACCACAATATTTTTATCATTTATGCTAAAAAGTTAATTTAATGGAGATGAAGGGTATAATATATTGTAGCATTATCAGCCTGTGTTGAAAATAAGCACGAACATATCAGAAATCACATTTATTGTTTTACTTCATTTCTAAACACATATACATACTATACATAAAATGTTTATGAGACCATATATACTTGTTGAACAATTCATTAAGATATTTTAAAATCTTCTCATGTCTAACAGAGTAACCTTAAAGCGTAATATGTTAAGATTTTTTTCTTTTTAAAACAGGATCATATATTCACTTAGCAAAATAGCATTGTTTAAGTAGCATCCTCAATAGATAATATTTCTTAGTAAGTGAAATGGGATAGTTTTTATAATACAGACACAATTCTATATGGACATTACGTTTTATATTAATATGTATCCATCAAAATTAAGATTACTCAGATATGAGCAAAAGCATAACTTTAAAGGTTCAGCAGTATCAGGAAAAATAGATGAAATTACTTAAGTCATACTTTTGCATTTAAGATTTCCAAAGTTATAATTCAGGTAGAATAAAGAAAGCAGTTAAGAGTAAAAGAAAGGATAAGAAATTCATAGGCTCTTGGTTAATTTAGTGCCCTTCTGTAATGTAAGTAAGATTGTTGGTTCTAACATCAGGTCATGTTTTATGCAGTCCACTACTCAAATAAAATACTTTGTGGAAAACTAGACCTAATGGTGAGTCTTACCAAGATTTTTACGAAATCACATATAAAAAAGGGAGGGGAGCTACAGTCAGAAATAAAACCTTATAAAATAAATAAAAATGTTTCAAATCCTTTATTTTCTATTTTTGTACTTTATAATTAATTCTTGCCATTTCTCCAGAGAGACTTCATTTTCAAGCATTAAAATTTTCCTTATATTTTATTTTCCATGGAATACTGTGCTGGGAGATAAGCTAATGACTTCATGCTCCTATACATTCTGTGAATTGAATAGTAAAGGTTTTATTTTCCCACCACTGGTTCTACCTGTTACTATACAGCATTCTTGGGAGAAGTTAAAATACATTTAAAAATCTGCTCTGTACTAATCTCAGTTTAATTATGAGGTTGTTGACTAAGCAGATATTAAATATATCTAGAGGCCATTTCTCCCAATATAGTTTAGAATCCAAGTTCATAATGAGCAGAAGCACAAGTGGTATCTTCTATTTCCACCAGGATAAAATCAACCCGAAGTACTAAAGGTTCACTAGGACACCCACCTTGTCCTAGATACGAATTCTCAATGAGGTCTTTAAATATTGCAAGGAACTATATGGAAAAAGTAGTAATAGAAAGTGGCTCAGAATTTGTCACTTAGATTAACATGACCTTCTGTCAGTTTTTTCATCGCCTTTCATTTTGCTTGGCATATATATGATATATTGGATAAGTGTGAATAATTGATACAATTCATGTTCATCAAAATTGCTCTTAATCATTCTGATGCTGTTTGTCACAGGAATAAATGCAATAATGTTAAACTTCTGGATGATATTAATGTGTTTAAAATAATTAAACATATTATTGTTTATGTGTTTGGTTATTAAATATTATAATCTGATAAGAAGTTATATTTTAGTATTTTAAAAAGCAGGTGAAAATTACATAAGTTTGTGTTTCAAGAAATAAGACTGTTGAAATGTCACAGTAAAATGTCTATAAATATATTTTCTTGGCTTCAATTCCTAAAATAATGAAAATGTAATGAAATAAAGATGTGATGAGTTTTCTAGCTATTATTCATATAGATACTTTTAAGCACAAAAATCTCTCTTCCCTTTACAAACTCAATTTATAACAATAAAGATATTCCAGAAAGTTTTCATTTCAGATGACTTTTTAAAAATACTAGGAGGAGAAATTGTTCTCATAAACAGATAAGTGTAAATATATTAAAGTAATATCTTTAATTTAAAAGGGTCTATTACTTAGATTAATGGGAAAGGTCTGATAGTTGTTCTCAACCACACAGATAAATGGAACAGAAAAACCCATAAGAAACACTTTGATGTACAATATAAATGTACAAGTTTGTTTCCTTAATATTTTATAAGCAAAATGTTTATATCCATTTACTGTGCAGTTAATTAAAGTTTAGTGGTTTAAAGTTAAATATCATTTAGTAATATTTTTGATATACATCATGAAGATGTAATTAACTGAATATCCATATAACATTAATATATTGTATATTTGTTATAAATAACATTTATGAAGCACATACTCCCCCCAAACTAATTTTTTTTTACATTTTTCAAACTGTAAACATGAAGGACAGAGTCATTTTTTTTAACATCATTTTCTATTTCAAATGGAAAAACCCAACATATTTTTTACCTACATGACCTGAATGGCTGTTTAAGAATTCTCTATACATCAAAGGCTGAAATACTTATTGCAGAAAAACTTGAAGTACTTTAATTTTAAAATTATGGATCTTTTGGAATATAAAATAGTTTTTTAAAAATCAAGAATTTAACAGTAGTTAAATATAGACATAACTAGGCTTTTGGGAACATATACTAAAAAGTTATTATATATTATAAAATGAATGCCTGTTAACAAGTGACAGTTTTGCTGGACCAGAAAATATTACTATAAATATACTCTATAATAAGTGCAGCTTGCCTTCAAGCAAGTCTACAGTAATATACTGTTAACAACCTCTGATAGCACAAATAGCAATGAAAACTCTCAATTGTAATTCAGAATTTTTTACTATCTGAGTAACATTTCTCAAGTGATCACCTTCCCAAACCTGTTCCAAGTTCTGTTAAATATACCTGTATACTGCTCCATTAAAAAATTGATAAAATAGGGCCGGCCCGGTGGCGCACTGCTACAGTGCGCTGCTTGGGAAGCGCGGTGGCGCTCCCACCGAGGGTTCGGATCCCACATAGAGACCGGTTCCCGCTCACTGGCTGAGCGAGGGGCGGGCGCAGCGCCAAGGGTTGCGATCCCATTGCCGGTCCCGGTCCGGTACGGGCGCGACACTGAGGGTTGCAGTCCATTGCCGGACATGAAAAAAAAAAAAAAAAAAAATTGACAAAATATAAACATGTAATTGTCATTTTAGTTTCTCATTCCTGACAAATATCCTCCCCTTTTTCCAACATCTGAACTATTTTCCATCACCTGAATTAGCCCATAAACAGTTCTTTTTTTCTACCAATACCTGTACCTACAAGCACCTTAAGAATCTGTCTGGACTTTAAGCACAAAAGAGAACAAAATGCAGAGGTGCCTTTTTTTTCTTCATAACCTTCCAGAGAAATACAAATGTTTTGTTCTTGTTGTTGTTGTTTTAAACCATTAGGAATCAACCATAGTCTATAGGATACTTCTCAGCCTGACATCAAAGGCTCTCCAGTATTTGGCTCCATCTTACCCATCTATTAATTTCCTCTAAACTCCAATACAAATGTTCTACTTTTGCCAAGACTTTTTCTTTACTATTCAACATATATGATATCTTTCTCCATAAATCCATATTGCTTCACCTTCCTAAGCTTTTTCCCCCCTTTCTCCTCTGATTAGGTAATTCCTGTACAATCTTCAAGGTAGAGTTCAAGTCTTTGCCTATTTACAAGATGATTTACTTCCACTCTAGCCTGCACTTCTCTTCTGAAATTTTATAGTACCTTGTTTACATTGTGGTTTTGGTGTATAAATACAGTTTTATAATTTTATAATTTATTATACCCACTTATCTCACAAACTAGTCTTTGAGGGCCAGAGCTACAATTGAAAATATTTTGCAATTCACTAAGAAGGCATTTAATAGATTCATACTTGAATGAATAAATAACAAAGTAACAAATGCTATTTTTCCAATTATTCATGATGAAAGTAAACTTTTGGGGACTAAATAAGAATTTTTTATTTTCTTAATTTGATTTTTCTATACTGAAGAGAGTTCTTTAAATGTCCATAGCTACTTTTTCCTAATGTAGACTTTCTTAAAAATACATTTGTGAGTTAAGAATTGAAGAGTCTGCAACATCTAATATATAAAGTTGGACATGCTGGATTTCATCATTCAACTACATGAAAAACGTGTGAGACCAGTATGTACTACTTTCCTAAGAGACTACACTTTGGGGAACTATTCAGTCAATAAGGGTAGGTTTAATTTGGGTAGAATATTCTGGTTCATACAGTTTACTCAGTTAACAGTTGTATCTAGGTAATAAAATTCAGAATACAATGTTTTATTAAAAGTCCATAATAGCTAGTGTAAAATCATAACTTTTAAAACAAGTCTTATTTGTTTAGAATTAAATTTGACTTCCTATTTTAAGTCCAAATTACATATAAATTATACTTTTTAACAAGCAAAACCTTAAAATTATCAATAAAAAAACAATGGACAAATGTAATAACTAAAACACTAATAAAATCCATAATTTCACATTCAATTTAAATCCATTTCTATGTAGAAGTTAGATTTTCTGGCTTCAGCATTTTTTAAAACTCTAGTTTTATTCCTTAAACAATCTTACCTAAAAGAAAGTTGCTAATAAAAGGTTTTAAAGAAATTATTTTAAAAATTAACTGAAGCCCAAAGCAAATTTAAGTGTTATATCATTAGTTAAGGGAAAGATTACCATTTAACAAAGAATCTTATTATGATTTTATGTATTAAAGTCTAAAAAAAATACAAAATATGTTTTTAACTGTCCTATAGCAAAATATTTTAGATATTACAAAATTTTAATAACTAAAAATTTATTTTAGACATAATTATTTTATACTGAATAACCGGAATCATTTCTCCAGAAATAAAATCACAGTCATTTAAATTTATATACTTGACTTATAATTTAGAAAATGATCCAGCAAAAAGTATTACATTGGTAAAACTGGATACCTAGAAAGTTAGAGAATCCCAAACTTAGAACGTAAAAATCCCAGCTAATCTATAATATCTTGTAAATATGTTTTACCTCTTCTCTGGATTTTTCAAGTATATTTTTCAATTTTTACATTACAAAGAAGGTGTTTAAGTATTAAATATATTGCCCTTAGATTTAGTTTTCTCTTTTGACAAGTACTTTTAAAAGATATGCTATTTCACATACATTATTGAGTACATGAAAATATTAAACAACAATTATTTTAATTCCATGAATATCTATAAGGATTACAAATGAATGCAAATACACAAAAAAAGTAAATCAATCACTATTATTTTTAACACTTATTTTGAACTTAAATAAAATTATCTGAACAAGACAAATAAAAATGAACTAAACATTTTAAAATTTGTCTTCATAAATCTATACTGGCACTGAATATCTATAAGGATTACAAATGAATGCAAATACACAAAAAAACTAAATCAATCACTATTATTTTTAACACTTATTTTGAACTTAAATAAAATTATCTGAATAAGACAAATAAAAATGAACTAAACATTTTAAAATTTGTCTTCATAAATCTATACTGGCACTGGTTATATGGTAGACTGTAAATCTCATATTGCCATAGAGAAAATTGGAATTTTAACAATGATTTGTAGACCATTATTTGATGGCACTTGCTATGTGTTCTTATAAAAGTCATAAAAAATCATCATCGTAATTTTTTCCTGAATGTATTGCCAGTGATGCACTACTCAAACTAATTTTATGGCTTGCTTTAAAAAAAATCAAGATGTTCATCTCTATCCATAAATGTTTGAATTTTCTCACAGAACTTGAAAAGAGAAAAGTAATAGGCTGGATTAAGGCAGAACGTCAACAGACCTGATATGTTAGTGCTCATTCTATAAGCTCTTAGCCCCAGATGATTTTAACCCAGAGGTCTTAAAACTCCTGGTTTAAAATCTGGATAAGTCATGGTACCACTTGCAACTAATCAGTCTTTAAACTATTAACACTTCAAAACTATGAATGGTTCTGAAGAATAAAAAATTCCATTGATGTTTACAGCTTTAAAATATTTATATTCTGCCATGTATACATGTAGAAACACTTCCTTAAAAAGTTATGTAGGGCATACAAATTGAACCGTTTGACACCGACAGAGTATAATATAAATGATTTTGTATGGAATAAAAACTATGATTCAAACACATGGAAGAAATTTTTAAAAAGGTGATAGAAAATTAAATACTAGTCTATCACTTGAAAATATATTGCCTAATTATTAATTTTTACATTTATATTTGATTAATCAGCATTATATTATCTATATATTGGTAAAATTAGGTTCATAACACTTTTTAATATGATTTTTTTTAGTTCAGAAACATGAAATTAATAAGACTGCACTACATTTCAAATTTATTACAACGAACATAAATATTCTGTAAATTTAAATATTCTGTGAACGATCAAAGAATGATACATTTCTTTTGAAGGCATAGTCTATTATTGATAGTAAAATTAAGTCACAAATTAAGAAGCTAATTATAAAAGGGCAAAAGCAGAAACAATAATTATGAACATAAAGCATCAAATAAATTTGTAGATTTAAAAGAATTTACAGTGGGAAAAAATCCACCTTATTTAACATTAAATAATGTCATTTTTCCCCTACATAATGTCTGACATTACTTAATCTTAAAAACTCACATTGGTTTTTATCAAGTAAAGTATTTTTTACAGAAAATCTCTAACATTAAAAATGAACACTGGGCCTTTTTGACATATATGCAAATACTACACAAGTTACACAAAACACAATAGTTGATTCGTCACAAAGGACTGGATGCTAGGTACACAAATTTACTTATACATATTTGTTGATTAAAAATGTTGAACATGACAATTAAATTAACAAAATATATGCACAATAACTATACTGAAGACTACAAATATCACTAAAAATAGGGTATTAGAATTGTAGATAGTCTCATTTCAATTTTTATACTTTACTTAAAAAGTGATATTTTAAATAGATAAAATTCCTATAAATTAATAAAATGTGTGTCTATAAATTTAGAAAAGGGCAATCACAAAGAAAAGAGTCACATAAGTGCTCAGTATAACACTAATAAATAATTTGATCTATAAAGAAATCAACTGATCAGTCTAAGGAATGTAACTTGATAGTCTTTAAATAACTAAATGACAACTCTGATATGTTTTAAGTATACTTAGGAAAAAAATAACTTATATGCTAAGAGTTTAAGGCTTCTTTTGTAAGGAATTCATACTATGCTGTGGATATTTTTCTTGGATTTCCCAACTAAACACTCACTTGTTTGATGCGATCTGGATTAACGGTGGTCTGGGGTTGTAGAATGCTGACTGGTTCTGTCTTGGCCACATTCTGGGGCATTTCTCTAATTTTTTCTGCAATAAATCCATGAACTGCATTCAGTGCTTCAACTGTTCCCTGGATCAAGCACACTCGCTCAGTAGTACCTGTGGATGAAAGATTAATTTTCAGAAAACATTCCCTCTCATTTTGCATTTTTTAAAAAAAGCTATGAAAAGATGATATAATAATGTCAATAAAATAATGTAAAATGTGGAAATCTAAATTAATTAGTAATGTTTGTACATACATGTCCCTTTTTACCATTCTTCTTATTAATTCTTTTCTAATGGCTTTAGTGTCAAAAAGTGCCTCTGGATTCAGCAGAACCAGAGATCCAGAGAAGTTCTGAGCATATTATTCATAGACAAATACCTACTATTGAAGAAGACTTTAGGGTTAGAAACTAGTAATACACAGACAAAGATATAAGGACCCAGCTTTCAAAGTGCTTACTCTTTAGGGGGAAAAACAGACACCAAGTCAGACAGTATAATATGAAAAATAATGGAGTTGGTACCAACATGGATGGTACAGTGGGTCCACAATAAAAAGAGCATTTAAAACTGTGGGGAAAGGGTGTCTTGGAAAGTTTGCAGAGTAGATAAACTTCTGAATTTCTAACACCTTCTATTCACCTTGCTCTTTTAATCATAGCAACAATCACTGCCTAATATTTTATATTTATTTTTTACTTTTCCACTAGAATACAAGCTCTCAGTGAACAGTGAATTTGTTTGTTTTGTTTTGAGTTGTAGTATCCCCAAAGCCTATGACAGTCCGTGGCACATAACAGATATAAAATAAATACTTTTGGATAAATGAAATCATGCTGCTTTTACTGATAATATAATTTTAATAAAAACTAAAATGTCAGGGTTAAAATGAAATTTTAAAAGTTTGTTAAATTTGAAATTCATGAATAATTGATAAAGATATTATTAATAGCACTTGTTTCATATCTAGTGAACAAATACAGACATATGAGGAGACAGAACTAAAATGAAATTGGTTGGGTCTAATACAAAGATTGTATAACCCATTCTATACTTTACAAATATACGTTAAGGCAACAAAAACAAGTGATTAGTTTTCCATAATATTCTGAGGTTTACTGCAGCGGCCTGGTATTTAACTGATCTTCTGAGTTTCCCAACACAACACACAAACTTACATCTCAGAAGTAAGTATTTCTTTTCTAAACAGTTGTCAAAAAGAAAAAAAAAGTAAAGGAATGGTATTTTAAAATTTGTAAATTCTTTCTGAATTAGTATGAACATTTTCAAATATCTCATACATTTCCTTTTGGTGCTACTGTTTCGAAATTCCAAGACACACTGTAAAATGTTTTAAAATACATTTTGAAGGGCAAATTTGTGAAACTACAAACATTCAAAAAAATCATAGGATGATTATGACACATAGGCCATTTTCCAGTAGTATTGAATTTAAAATAATAGTGAAAGAGATTATCATTCTTACTTCTAGAAAACAGACTTAAATCACAGAAATTAGAAGTAGAAATAAAATAGTAAAATTATAGGAGTACACTTAAATTTTCATGTTTTAAATAATAAAAGTCAAGTCTATGAAAAACTAAGTTTTCTGGGTTGTACAAAATATTTCACTAGAGAATAACTATAGTTTTCATTTGTAAGGACAGACAGAACCTGAAAATCATAATGTGGACTTAGGTTTTCCTATCTCTCTTAATCAGCTTTTCTCATTCTTTTCTATCTTGATGCAGCTTTGTGGTTCTTGGGTAAAATGATATAGTTTATAGGGATAGTCTAGGGAGTCTTTACAAATTGTATTAATTGCCCAATAAATGACTAGCAAGAATGAGAACTGATCCATTGATCAGCTAATGCAAAGTGTTCTGGTCAGCAGACAACCTAAAACATAGATCAGATTACATTTCAGCTTTTGGAGATTACAGAGTGCTCCTCTGTGAAATTTAGATAGGGATTCAAATAGGAATTAAAAAAATATAAATAAATATGGCAACATGTAACTAAAGATAATCCATGATGTTTTTAAAGTTATAAAATCCATGTTGTTTTTAAAGTCTGATTTGACATAATACATACTATGTGAGACCACACAGAAAACCCAATACTCTTCAGGTTGTATATATTAACAGACAGTAAATGGAAATTACTGAGCAATAAAGAAATACGATTGTCTAAAACTAGACTTCACATAACAGCATGCATGAGACAATTTGAAGACAGTTCATAGGTTTACAGTTGCGGTACATGTTCTTAGAGGATAAAATTATATAATTTCCATTACAACTACTACAAAAAGAGGAAAGAAAAAGGAGACTGTACCTCTACCCCTCAGAAATTCTGTAATTCTCAGAAGAGATGCTATCATATTCTTCTACTGAACTCTAATGGCCTTCTTACTCAGGTAACAAAAAACCATAATTTTTAGGAGGAAGTCACAAAAAAGGAAGACTGTCAGATACATGACTAAACTGTGTAATAAAAATAAGCCTATAAGTCATAAAAGTTGCTGGGTTTTTTTTTTTTTTTTTGGTCATTTCAAAGGCTTTTAGGCTCCATTAGGGTCTAAACTAAACTGCCAGTTATTTATCATTTTATTTGTTTAACAGTAGTATTTACTTCTATTTGCAATAAACTAGCAACAAAAGCTGAAAATTAGTTACATAAAAGTACATGCCCATATTTTGTATAATGTAATGATTCAGGTGTATAAGACACCATTAATTTAAAATTGTGCTTTTAGGGGAGAAATTACAAAAACTGTAACAAGAAGTGTCAATGTCAAATATAGGCAGTGACATTTAAGTTTTGATTTCACATGCAATATCAAATGCTGAAAATGCACGTTTTTAAAATTAGGTACTATTATCAAACAAATTTCATAGCAAAGTTTCATAGAAATTTAATATAACATATTCTTTCTATGCTACTGTAACTTTGGACAAATCACTTAAACAGCTTCTGCTCCTGTCTATGGGGTTCCATCACTTGTGTGCTGGGCACCATCCCCTCTTAACTACCAAGTCCACTGTTCCTTCATTTATTAGAGTTCTTTCCTATATCATAATTTTTCTTTCTCTATTGGTTTATTCTCTCTCATCAGCAGAAAATGTTATAATTCTTTCAATTTTTAAAGACATTGACAGAATTAGAAAATTACCCTTTTGCAAACCTAATGAAATAACTAATTTAGGCAAAGATAATAAATGGATAAAACCATTAGATGAAAAGTTAATGGGAAATTTTCAATGGAAACATCAGGTGTCATCAATTGACTTCAATGATCAACATTAGCATGATGAGGAGTGTGAAAACCAATCAATATGTGCCTCTTGATGTGGTGCAACACACAGCACAGGGCATCAATTATGAAGTATGTATCCAAAAGTAGCTGAATCTAAATCTAATCAAACCTTTAGGACTACATTAGTTTATAGACACTACTGCAAACACAGAAATAAATGACACCACAAGGAAGTAAAAACACAAATCAAGAATGTAAAATAGTTTACAAGACAACCGATCCAGCTTCTTCAATAAAGGAAGAACTACTCTCCAGACAAAATGAACCTTAAGAGATATTATGATCAAAAGTAAATTAGAATTTGATCAGATCTGAAGTCAAACAACTTTTACTTGAAACATAATTGAAGCAATGATAAGGACTGAGTATTAGACAGTATCAAAGAATTACTGTTAATTTTAAGAGGTGTGATTATGGCATCAGATATGTAAGAAAGTGTCGTGTTTTTGTTTTTTTCTTTTTTCTTTTTGAGATGCATACTGAAATATATACAGGTAAAATGACTGGGATTTGCTTCAAAATGTTTCTGCAACAACAAAAAATTAGTAAATGCACATGGCAAAATCTTGATAATATTGATATATATGAAGGGTATAGGGAGATTCATTATACTATTCCAGTTTTATGTATATTTGAAATTTTCATAATAAAAACAAATCCAAAAACATTTTAAAGCCCTCACTAACCTCATACCCTCTTCTCGTCAGAGCTCAATTTCCTCATCCGTCGAAATTCCTTGAATGAGTTACATAAACACTCTCTTCCTACTTCCTCACAACCCAAATCTTGAATCTACTCCAATGTTTCCCTCTTCCCCCCTTTAAATCTAGTCCATTATGGCATTTGTCCCACAACTCCCCTGAAAGCACACTCATCAAAGCTGTACCTGGGCAAATCCAGTCTTCATGTCTTCAAATTTGTTTGTCCCATCAGCAGCATCTGATATAGTGACCACTCTGTTTTAAAAACACTTCACTTGGCTTTCAGAATACCACACACACTCCTGTTCCTGGTTTTCACTCCACTCATTCAGTTCATTCATTTGATAAACATTTATTGAGACCCTGCTAAATAAGTACCATACTAGAAGCTGTAGAAAAAGTTACAACCAGACAGACAAAAATCCCTGCCCTCATGGAGCTCATATTCTAGTTCATGCAGACAGACACTATACATAAAACATAGTATATGGAGAAAATCCTTACAGGAAGTAAGTGCTAAGGCGAAAATTTTGGAACAATAATAACAGGCTGAACAAAGACCAAAAAGTGTGAAAGGGACTTTATCATGTTCACTACTGTATGTATCTCCAGTACCTAGAATAGTGCCTGGCACACTATAGAAGCTCAACAAGTATTTTTTGAACAAACGAATAACTCCCTGAGTCTGTATTTTCTTATCTGTATTTTGAAAACGTGATTGATTTCTAAGGCCTTTTTATCTACAAAATGTCCACAAAACTAGTCAGCCTCTTTGAATTTACAGGATCAATCAATGTATATGAAAATGAGATATATTTTGGAAAGATTTAAAAAATAGAATTAGTTATAAATCATCCTTACATCCATAAAAAGGGCACTTGGTAAAAAAAGTAAGGTACTAGGAGAAATAATGAATAATTCAGTTATCTCTTCTTCCAAGAGTAGGAGAAAAAAAAAAATAGATCAAGCACAGTCTAAACTTTTTTAGATATTTGAGATCTATTTCAAACCAGAATGAATCTATTCTAGAATAATGGGCAAATACTAGTGATTTAATCCACATATTTGCAATTGTCAACTATAATGAAAATTAGTAA